AGAATGTGAAAGCCTATCTTTAATCTTAAGGAATACATGACAGTCTTTAATTTAATTTAATTTAATTTAATTTAATTATTTTATTTTAACATATTTTAACATATTTTAACTGGACAATTTTTCTGAGGGCTTAACTCTTCTTCCCTGGAGGTGTTAAATAGAGGTTGGATGATCATCTCTCAGGGATGGTAGTAGTGGATTCCTGCACTGGCTTAGATTATCTATATGGTACCTTCCAGTAATTTTATTCTATGATCATATACATTATTCATTATTATAGTGGTATTTTCTGGTTGTCCTTTAACAGGGAGCACAATATGTTTATTTAGCATTGTTTACCTGCTTGTAATATAGTATAGCCTTATACCTTTTGATGAGTAGAGAAAAATCTTTTCCATCACCTGCAACCTGATTCTTTTACATGGAAATACCCGGTAAGAATCTGCTTCTTAGCAATTACACTCCTCTGGAGAGTTTCCTTAAAGATAATGAAGGGCACGCTTAGATTTTGCATCCCAGCATCTTCTCTAGAAGTATAAGTGATCTACATGATCCAAGGAATGCAAGTGATTCCTTATTTTTCCTGCTGCTCTCTTGGCATAGATTTCTCATAATATTGGAGGAGTTACTCTCTTAGAAACTTACTCTAAGCTTTCAATTGCTGCTATGGTATATTTGGTACACAGTTAAAATCTAGAAGACCATTCTTGGAATTGGAATTCTACAATCCATGTCCTTTTAAAAACTAGTGGAGTTAGATTCCTACCTAGGTTGAGAATTTTTCTCCGAAGTTAGTGTACAGAAAATGTAAATCTTTTACAGATGCTTTCTAAGAAAGTGTAATAAAAGTAAACTGTTGGAACATGTGCGATAGAATGTGAAAGCCTATCTTTAATCTTAAGGAATACATGACAGTCTTTAATTTAATTTAATTTAATTTAATTATTTTATTTTAACATATTTTAACTGGACAATTTTTCTGAAACCATATAAATGATTTATAAGTTTTTTCTTGAGAGTAAAGACAATCTCAGGTTTATCCTTTCTTTACCCTTATATTATGCCTGAAGGGACATTTTGACAGAACGGTTTAGTTATTTTAGTGTGATCCATATGGCTGGCAGCCATTTCATTTGTAAAATATTATTTTGTTAAGATTAGCATGCACTTTTCTAAAATAATCAGTTCCTTTTTGTATTTAATCTTTGAGCCAGATTCTCAGTCCTTGTAACAATATTCATTTATGCTAACTCTACCTCAATTCTCCTGGACCATTATTCTAAATTATTCTCCTGGACCATTATTCTAAATTTGTGTTTGTATGTATGTATGTATGTGTGTGTGTATGTGTGTGTATATGTATATGTACGTAGGCACATCAATTTTATAGTAAGGTAGATAAATCAGAGAAGTAAATTTAGTTCAACGTATGTTTTATAAACTGAATTAATTTTTTTTGCCCTTGATGCTTTAATAACATGATTGCTTCTGATAAGTGTAATGGTTATATTCAGAGAAATTATATTGTATAGCCATCTTTATGGTAATTCCTTACTTGTCCTGATTTCTATTATTTCATGTTGGGTGTTTATGATAGAG